ACCGCGGAGACCAGAAATGTTCACCAAGACCTCACCTACATGCACCCCGACCGTCATTACCAACTTCTAGTGCCACAGCACAGGTCCAGGCTGTAACTCGAACGGACATCTCACATGGACACGAAACAGTTTCGGAGGAACCAACGAATTCCAAATACGGTCTTCCTCATATCCAATTGGAATCATCCAATGTATCGGCAAGCCGGGAAATCCTATATCAATGATGAAGAGTCTGGCATCCCAGAAATCGGTCAAAGGGTGCCTATGTATCCTGATGCTGGAGATGTGCAAGCACCATCGCCATCTCCCGGACCAACTAGTCCCCATGGAAATCAAGATGGACATAGCAGAACCCGCAGCCGGCAAGAATCTTCTATCCCTCCTGGGAGTTATGGCCTTCACGGCCATGGGGTAACTCCTGATGACCCGTTTGAAAAGTCCTGGTATCAAAAGCACCCGAAAGAGCTGGCTCTGGAGGAGCAAGCACTTCATAGATCAGGCGTTGGCAGTCCACGGCCGGAGTGGGCTATGAGTAGTGAAGGCCTGAATGAGATCGTCAAATCATCTGCCACTACAGGTAATACCAATATTACACCTTTGACTAAGCTTGATTCTGACTACTACAGGTACATCCAATGAAATTATGGGCACTCCTGATGAGGAGATAGGGAATATCATGACTGAAGAACTAGCCTCTCGTCTCCAGTCCCCTCCAACAGAGTCTTCACTACAACATGAGGTACGTGACGAGAAGCCCACTGTCGAGGCTTTATCTGAAAGCCAGAAGGCAGCAGGTGGCACGGATAGAACTCATGGATCTCAAGAAGTGAAGATTCATGTCAGCGAGCCTATACATCACCAGCATCACCCCGATGGTTTTGCGCTAGCACCAGAACCTGACGATAAACATGAGGGTGACGTACACGATAATGGGGAAGACGTTCCAGTCCTCGCAGCCGATGAGGTTGACCCAAACTCCGCAGGATTGCAGCCTGCAGTATCCCCCTCCTTTGAACATCGAAATCGTGAACATTGTAAACGTGAAACTGAGGCCTCCCAACAAAAACAGACTACCAGATCTATGAGTACTGTGAACAAAGCCCCTGACTTCCAACTTGAGGGTCAAAGTGGGAACGAAGCTACACCTGTCAAGCACACTAAAGAATACGAACCCTTATTCCCAAATGATGATAACGAAAGGCATCCCTCCCCAGAGCACCGTTTCAAGTCACCGGTCAGCCAGACACATAGATTCCCAAGTAAGGACATATGGGAAGATGCTCCAAGTAGTACTCAACTACATGCAACAGTGTCAACTCCAGATATACCCAAGCGGCCTAAAAGAAATGGGTCAGAACCTGAGTCCCCCTTTGAGACGCCAGAACAGGAACAGGAAAGAGTGAGGGAAGCAGACAAACTTAAGGAGAAGTCAGGCTTGGAAGAAACACCAGTCCATTTAGATAAATCAGAATCCCAAGAATATCACTCGAAACAACGTTTTCCAAGTAGAGATATATGGGAAGAAGCTCCCGAAAGCCAACAACTCACTGCTTCTGTGGAAATACCTGAAGACTCGGAGAAGAACGAGAAGCTAGAAAAACCATCCTTGCCATCACTGCCTCCTCGGCCTTCAAGGCAACCGGATCGATCTTCTACAGAGGAGCAAACGGATGTGTCACCCACAAAGACCCAGGTTGTCAGCCCAACTGAATTAAAGAAACGGCCATCAATTCCTGATAGGCCAAAACCACAGGTTCCCCAACGGCCTACTAAGAAGAAGAACCATGAGGCGGGCGAAACATTAACAAAAACAATATCTGGGGAGCCTACGGACGAAGCGGTGCGCCCAGTCCCGAGAGCCAAGCCAGCAATCCCACCACGAGGCGTTGGTCCGAAGATTGCAGCCTTGAAAGCAGGGTTCCTATCTGATTTAGACAGTCGTCTCAAACTTGGCCCACCGGCCCCCAAGCCCAAGGAGAAGGAAAGTGAAGAGGTAGAAAAGACAGTAGAAAAAGGTCCGCTTAGTGATGCTCGCAAAGGGAGGGCTAGGGGACCGCCAAGAAGAAAGCCTGCTGTCAAGGCTAATCCAGCAGTAGAGGAGATTGCAAAGCCACAAACTCCTGAAATCAAAATTGCTGATCCATGGAATATTTGGTCCATTGGTCCTGACGGCGAAGTGAATGTCTCGAGTGGCCAGTCGGGTAATTCTCCTTTCGAGCCCAATGACATCCAGTCAGAATTTCCCGTTGCACCCCCACCTACGAAGGCAACGGTCTCACCTCCCAGTTATTTGGAAGCCCAACCACCAGATGCATTAAACATTAACAAGGCTGTGGAATCCATGGTGATTCCCAAGGTTGAGGATAACCAAGCCATTTCTGAAGTACCTTCGCCACCAGCAGTAGATGAGCCTGCTTCTTCCCATTTAGCATCCAGCGAACATCAGGAGGAAAGTAACCCCCCGATGGAAGCAGATACCCACGAGCCGGAAGAAGATAAAACCAAACCCGAGCCTTATTCTGGACTGAAAGCGTCGGAAGAAGCCCCGAATGCGGCTGGTATTATGGACAAAGAAGCCGGCATTGAGGAGACAACTGTCCCGGCAATCGAAGCCATAGAAATACCTGCTTCGGCGATTGAGTCCAAGGTTGAGGCTGGAGACGCAAATACCAGCGAGAAACAATAATCCTCTTTAATGTTTACTCTTAACTGTAGTTATTTAACATATATCTAATATTTAGTACCAATGTTTATAGTTTCTCGCTCTTAAGAGGCCATCTCTAGCTAGTTCATGGAAAAGATGTCTGGTAGATATCCCAGCTAGCCTTGGTAACCACATTAATTGTCTTTCTGTCATGCCATGGTTAGCCTCGTGCCTCGTCCGATATTAAGAAACAGCTTTTTATAGTAGCATCTATGTGGGTTCAAATTAATTCCATACTTCATTTAAAACTTCTATATAAAAACCCTGGACTAGTTTAGTTTTCGGCATCTATCAACGGAGGAAAGGAGAATATGAACAAGAACATCGGAGCTAGAATTATGGAGTACGATAGCCCACTGACAGCCACTACATATATTTGTAAATTCAAGTGAGCAAATTATTCCTAGTTACTTCGAAGGATGGAGAGATGAAGAACTGTTTCAATTTTGGTTACCTATACTACGAACACTATATACTTTTTTGGGCTTACCCCCGTCTCTTTGCCATGTTTACCTCAATAGCCAGTCTTTATCTGAAACGACTGGTCGAAGATGTTGTTTGGGTCTTGTTCCGCTTTGATCTTCTGCAATCGTGGAAGGTGGTGACCATATATCTCTGAGGGGTCTTCATCACCATAAGCAAAATTGACGTACCTAGATATAGTGTATATTAGCATGGCTTATCCTCGTACCTACTCGATTATATTGTTATTTTTGATTAGGATAGGGACACGTACGTAGCTGGGGGATCAAGGCTACTCGTCGATAAAATTAGGCGGCGAGTGGATAAGCCGTAGAATTCAGCAGCAGAATCTATGCTTTTATCTTCATACCAAGGAAATATAAGAACATTGAACCTGATACGGTCTCTCCAAGGTACCGAAGAAGAATTGGTTGGGAATGACCGAGCTTTGCCCATAGAGTATGCCTCCAGGATAACGGTGCTGTTACGGGCGCTGCCGTTGTTTGATGAAACCCAGGTCACATAGTCGTCCCAGACCTGCTTCCATGTTTCTGGTACTAGTTCAGCGAGACCGGCACAATACGACGGCTTGCGGCCACCTTTGACGCAGGAGCTCTCAGCGCCATCATTCCAATGAGTATAATGTGTTCTGGAAGTCGTATCAAGGGTGGGGCCAATGTCAAGTATAGATGCAAAGGCAGCTCGTCCCTCAGCCTCTGTACCATAGTAGAACGGGGTAACTACTACAGTAGGCATATTACCAGGAGCGCGGGCGTCTAGTAAATATATGAAAATATTCATCTCTGGTTTTAGAGTAAGCTCATTAATAGCTTTGATGACAGCCTGGATTTTATCTCCCGTGAAGGTGAGCGCACCTAGCCAGGCATACTGCCCAGATGGTTCCACTGGATACGCTTTCATTCTTGCAGAGGTGACGATGCCAAAATTTGGGCCAGCACCACAGAGAGCCCAAAAGAGGTCATCGCCAACTGTTACAGTTTGTAGGATACCATCTCCGGAGACGACGTTGAGGGATAAAATATTGTCAACACCGAAGCCATACATACCCATCAGATTACCGTATCCGCCGCCTAGTATGGCTCCAATAGCACCGACACAGTTGCAATTTCCGGTGGCAACAAGGGCATTATTAGAAGAAGCAGCTTCGATTACTTCAGATATTAGGATACCGCCTCCAACAATGACCTCTGTCTTGTCATCATTGAAAGTGGCCGAGTTCAACTGTCTGAGATTGATAAGTATCCCATCAGGAGGTACATCTAGTGTAGTGGTAAACCCATGTGCCCCTGCCTGGGCAAAGAACTGAATGTCATATTTAATGCAATATTGTACCTAATACACTGTGTCAATTCTGTGGTTTTTAATCAGAAAGTGAAAGAGGAGAAACTGCAAAACACACCGTCCTGGCCACATCCTCCTCGCTGGCCACGCTAACAACAACTCCGGGAGATGGGGCGTGATACTCACTCCACCTCGCGAACTTTTCTCCGTTTTTAGTGATCAAGGCTGATTTGGATAACTGAGGACCGAGTTCACCACTCACGTCCTCCAGAGAAAAACCCCGGACGAGCAAGTTCAGAACCGGCAGAATCCAAACAAAAGTGAGTAGCAACATGACTTTTTGCTAGATTTGACTGCTGTTACAGGTATATTATGGTAGAGTAAAGACCAGGGTAGCAGTTGTTTGTCTTCGTAAGCTCGTAGGTTGACAGGGCTGAAAACGCCATTGAGATGGAAAACATTGCAGCTCTTATCAAGGCACAAGCCCTTCCTTTTTAGCCTGGAGATTTCTCCAAGTAGGAGTTCTCATGGAATTCCAGGATGCATCATGGTTGACCTTTCCTTTGATATAGGATATTGTGGCATAATGGGGGAAAGCCCGATGAGGTATTCATCTCTGGAAATATCTATAATCGATCCCATTACTGCTGTAGGTATATTGAAGTATCATGGGGTGTTGCTGGTAGTCAAGTACTGTGGGCCTTCTCAGCATATTATACGCTGCCTTGCTATAGAGAATAAGTAGGACATCAACTCAGGAGGTCAGCTTGATATCACAGTAAAACGTAACAAGGTACAGCGGCGTCAAATATTACAATGTATTTACCGAATTCTTACTTATCATTGGTCAATAGTCGCCACTCCAGTAATTTATTTTTAGTCATCAATACATTTCAAACGCCGATAAATATAAGTCAGGATATCAGATGGTTCACTACGCATCAGAACGATATACGAAGATCAAACCCATTATATACTACATTCACCATTATTGGCATGGCAACAGTTTATTCCCTGGTTGATAGCCGTCATATGATCGCATCATCTACTTCTGGCACTTCTCCTGTGGAGAGAGGGGACAATAGCAAGCAGCTAGTAGTCGATTGAATAATGGCCACGGCAAAGGATGTACAATCACTTCTTCGCTTTCTGACACAAGATGCTAGGGTTCCTCTCGCTGCTGCAATTGGCAAGGTCAAAGGCCTACAACAGGCGAAGCTACTAAAGTATGAATGAATACAACCAGGATGAATCTTGCTATTCATATACCCTCTTATTTGATAGAGCTGTGAATCCAGGCTGACTGAAGCTTCAATAGCCCGGAGGATATCTCTAAAGCAAAACTGGAAACAGTCCAATCGGTTTTTACGGAAGATAAGATTGGAAAACAAGTGTGGCATGCGGCGAAAAGGGTCGTCAAAAAGCGATTAGCCGACGGAGACCCGGAATCACCGTCATCTTCATCACCCTCGAAGAAACGAAAAGTGCCCGCTACAGAACCTGAGATAACTCCTGAATGCTTTGAGGCGTCACTCACGCTTCCCATAAGTACTGACTTGGACGAAATTTCCAAGACTTCTATCATCACCAACCGAGCTCCACTTGTGTTAGCATTTGCAGTCATATCACTGAAGTATACAATGCCCGAACAGCCCTTATCCAGCAGACTGAGTCTTGCCCAGGCCGTAGTAAGCGCAAACAGTCGTACAAAAGCTCGCAGACTTGGTATAGACACTACCCCCGGCACGGAGGACGAAGGATGGGCTCAAGGTCAACCTACCGTCAAGGTTCTGGGAAGAAGCATAAGTGTCCTTCGACGAGTGGGATACGACTGGAGGGGAAGGGCAGCTGAATTACCTGATGATGAATTTGATAGCAAGAAAATGGAGGGGAGCAGCAGTTCCCCGCATGCCGAGACGGATTCCCCTGCGCTCAGAGCCGATGCGCCATCGCCTAAACAAGATAATGACGGCGACAATCTCCCAGCCCTTTGGGGTCTGGACTTGGAGGGCCATCGGAAATCGAGTGATGGCCATCACAATAGATATGGTGGGTACGACAGTAGAAGCCATAACACACATCTCCCCGTATTCAGGCCTGAATCTGCCCGAGACTACCTATTGGGGGCATTTTGCACCCATAGCCCGAGCAACGCAAAAGCCGATTCGAAGTCAGCCAAGGAGAGAGCTCTAAGCGTGCTTCTTGGCGCCATCGATCATGTTTGTCAGTCGTGGGCGTCGACGCTAAGCAAGGGCGAATTAGATAGGCGGGCCTGGTGTTGGTATGTTGCTGTTCGGCCAGTGGTTGAAGATGGAGTTTCGGGATGGGGCCAAAAAGGAAAGGTCCATTTATCCGCCATCCTTGATTTGAGGAGGACATGATAGACAGTTTATTTCTTCGAGTTTGAGAGTAGCTATTGGCCGCGAGGAAATTTGGTCAATTTTTGCTCATTGGGTTATGAATCATCCGTGTTAATTGATGCTAAACCAATCGTTTTGGTTCTTATATACAGCAAATTTTTCCCCCATAACCATACAAAAACTCAGTGACGGAAACTTCAGGAACCCCACACCTTGCATGACAAGAGCTGCCTCGCTGTCCAGTGAAGGAAGAAATCTTGTGAAGGGGGGGAGGAGGGTTGCAGGGAGGGTGCATCAAAAGGCCAACTTTCGACATCGAAGCCATTCCCTTCCTCTGATGTCATCTGGAGGTCTCACCGGTGTGGTTGCCCACGGAAAGGCCGTGTCCACCCTGGCTCCATTCCACGAGGAATCTAAGTGGCCATTTCGAAGTAACCCTGAACAGAACCCTCGATTGGACACGAAATTCTCCAGGGCAAACCCTCAGCTCGCAGCCTCTGATGAAAAAAAAAAGGAACAGCTGATGAAAGGACAAGAGATGAGATATCGAAGAGCGGATCTCTCTCTCCCCCCCTTTTTTCATTTGGCAAAAGGGCATGCGTTAATATTGTGGCTAGGTGAAGTGTTATGGCAGGGTCAAGAGGCAGGGGGTGCGACCAGGTTTATGCCACACAGAAAAGAGACTCAGTCACCTTCCATGGCCCTAAGGAAGCAAAAGTTTAGCCCGTATGCTGCATGCTATACGGAGTCCCCATCCCAGGTTTGGTAGGATGCCGACGGTTGCCCCTAGAGTCTCTCCTCTTCGACTTGGTTTTTTTGTCCAGTAGCAAGGGTAGGAGTCAAAAGAGGTAGACGGGATATCCTCTCTCCCCCCATGTAACATCGCCCACAATGTATTCACCAGGGCAACAGCTCAGCTTCTCTTTGATGATCAACACTGTGTATATCTCCTGAAAGAACGGTCACCATAGATGATTCTCTGTAACTAGTTGGTTGAAGCGGCCATTCTTTTCCAGGAGTGTCCCGTCGTATCTTACCTGTCCAAGTACCTCTCGAGTACAAAGTACTATCTATATACATCCTCCCTACATACAGCATATGTATAATACTAAACACTTATACATCTCCATCTCATCCCGAGCAAGAAAAAAAAAGGGCAAAAGGCAAAAAGAGAGAAAAAAAAAAAGGGAAAAAGTCTTGGCGCGCGGTGAGTTTCAGATCGTCGTTTTCTTCCCTTTCGACTTTCTTTCTCCGCCGAAAACCAGCAAGAAAAACAACGACATCGAACTTCATCGACTTCAACCACCAAAACTCTCCTCTTTCCATCGCTCGCTGCACGCTCACGACTCGCTCGAGCACCCGCTCTGCTCTCACCCTTATCCGGTCGTTATATGTCTCTCGCTTGCTGAGTCGTGTCCTTTTGTTTTCTTGTTGTTTCTTGGGCTCTTGGTCGTCGGGTTTCCCTCAGCCGCGGTAGTTGAGGAGAGAGTCTTTTGGAAGGCTGAAGCGCCGAAAAAAGGGATCGCTGCCCCCAGGCGGGCAGTGTATCATCGATTGCCACGCCTACAATGAACGAACGACCGGTATCACCCTGCAAGGGCGTGGATGGTGGTGGTGACCACGGACAGTCGCCGTCGAACGATCGAACGAGTGGTGGCTCAGGGCAGCCCGGTCAGGCCCCTCGCGTATCACAGTCGTCTCCGGTTCTGAACGTATTTAGCGATGAATTCTCGCTTGAACGACTGGATGGTTCGTCCGGCAGCCAGAGGCAGTCGATCAACAGCCTCTCGAGCCAGTCGTCGTCGTCGAGTTCGGGCAAGACAGGGTCGAGGGATGGACAGGTTCCCCCCATGAGCCCCTTTCAAGGTCTACCAGAGTCACTGGAAAGACGCGCCTCACAGCTGCTACAACAGCAGCAGTTGCAACAACAGACAGTCCTACCACAGATGCCTGATAAGATACATTTCCCTCCGGATGTAGGACCTGTCCCCCGAACATCCTCACCCACGGTTTCTATCGCTCAAAGTACTGCATCTGCCGGCCATCGAAGTGTTAGCACCGTATCCAGATTCTCCATCCCTCCTCGCGCGTTGAGCCCCTATACCGGCCAGACAGGGCCCAGCTACCCGTATGCTATGTATTCCCAAGGAATCTCCATGAACAGGGCGTCATCGATCTCTTCAAATTCAACGGTCCGGCCTGTTGAACGAAATTTCGTGGCAGCTGCCCCCCCGCAGCATCCATACGCGCTATATTCCCAGAATACCGTCCCCGAACACGTTCCGGACGAACCTCTTCCCGCAGCCGTCCCTCTACCCCTGCCTGGCCATCCTCAAGTATACAGTCAACCTGCCCCAGCCCCTGTTGCGGACGAAGTTGGAGATATCTTGGGAACAGATGGATATAGAGAACAGCTCCCCCCTTACTCTCGTTATCCTGATGGTATCCCAGAAAAATCTTACTACGCTCCTGCTGCGCCCCTCGGCGTTGCTCCCACTACCAATACCCCCTCACAGGCTCTAGAAACACCCGTCTCACCGATATCAGAAGTTTCGTCCCGCACATTACTTGCTGATAATATCCACACAGCTGCGGCTTCTCCAGCAGACTCGTCGACTGCCGAGTCAGGGAACACATCTCAGGAGAAGATTAACGAAAAGGAAAGGAGAAGAAATAAAAAAGTCTGCTGTGGCCTGCCTCTATGGATCATTGGCCTCATTGCCATCGGCCTAATCACCGGAACTCTTATCGGGGGTGTCCTTGGTGGAATTGTAGGAGCTCGTCAAGGCCAGAAAGACAGCGATAAACCCCCTCCAGACCCAGATCATGAACCATCAATGTACGTGCATTTCACGCTCGTCTCAAACTCATTATCCTTTATTACTCAAACTAAACGTACTATAGGACCGCAACGCCAACTTCGACATCCAGCGGCACTTTGGATGCCATACCTTTCCCGACCGTAACCAATATTCCTACTTTTACTCCTATCCCCACGGGGGATATCTCAATCTCCGGAAGAACGTTCAATTCCCTGTCTCAAAGCTGTGTCAATTCAACCAGCCTCAAGCTGTCTTGGGACTGTATAGATTATGGCCACTTTAAAGGCTCTATAATCAGCGGTCCCAAAGACTCTAGATCAATCAGATTCGTACAGACGCCTCTAACGGGAAAATTCATATATGGAGACCAAATACCAGCTCTAGGGAACAAAGATTATCCACTAGAGCCTGTCTATGACTCGAAATCCCTTGATGAAGGGCCAGCCTACTTCTTCTATACCACGTTCGACAAGCTAGTTATAATACCAGATGACCAATTCCCATCTGGTGTCGCCGGTAGATCAGTGGATGAATCAGCGCTATTTCAACGTTCTACCAACCGATCAGGGAAGGTCCAATCCTTACCCGGTGACAAGCCATGGTTTTGCTGGTGGAATACCACATACATAGAAACCTTCATTTACGCCAACAAGAATGCATCAGAAGATGATATGATGACTAGCGGTGAAGAACCTGGAGGCGGCACATATACATCAGAACCAACTGTTCCTCGGGAATCCACCCTTGTCAGTTCATCCACTTCCCCTACTTCGACGCCTATCGCCACAACATCCGGCGAGAATGGCGATTTACCACAAGCATATGCACGAGCCATTAAAATCAAGGAACTTCGATTCTCCGACGCTAGCCCATCGCCACCTTATTGCCAGCAGATGCAAGTTCTGGACGACTGGAGCCTGTCAATGCTCAAGAACCAAGCGACGATTGAAGAAAAAGATTCTGAATCAGGTCCAGACGTCGACGATGTCGATATTAATTCGAGAATGGCCGCAAGGACCATCCTGATAGGATCGAGAGGCGTCGAATCTGACCAATGTTATTGTGAATGGATATATGGTAACTGAACTATTTTTTTTCCTCTTTCGGATGAACTCCTGCTCTTGGTTGGTATAATTGCCATCTTCTTATATAGTATTCACCTAGGCGTTTGAGGTAATATCTTTCTTTCGGCATCGGCGTTTATATTAGGTTTGGACTGCTATTTTTCTTATCGATCTTGTCACATTTCCTCATATATCCTGTCATCATCATATATATAGCAATGATTTCTCTCACATTCTCACCCATCAACCTAGCTTTGGCAACCTTCTGGATTCTTCGGCCCGCTTCTGACCTACACTTGATATTTTCTGGATTTGATTGATCCTACATTCAGGGAAGAAAAGCATACCATTCACGTTCGTTTTCCAAATTATTGTTCTGTGCACATAAGTATCACTGGCTATACCCGTGGTTTCGCCATCTCTTCCGTCTACCTCTTCTCCTATGTTTCCTCTCTTGAATCGGTCTTTCTGGGTTCGGTAGATTTATTGTGTTTCTTGGACCGTATTCTTTGTGCAGGATACATGTATTCATTTATTGGCTATCACTTTGGACAAGGCAAATGGGCCTTTCTTACATTCCACGGTCATTTCTACAGGTGTTTTCCCTCCAATTTTCCTTTTGGTTATATATTAACCTCCGTTATCTATATATAATCTAGGGATAGGTAGGTATATAGTATCTACAAATATCAACTTCGCTTTTTTTTGTTGTAACTCTCGTCTGCGACCTCTCGTAATGTAGTATCATCTATCTGATTGGCCTCGAGCCTTCCGGCTGGCAAACGGCGTTCTCATAGCTGAACTATACAATATATATATGCAAGGAACAGGGATATAACTAGAACTTGTACTATGTATGTGTATGATGTCCACGATCTACAGGTGGAAATGCAAGTTAGACATGGAAATATACAGCGCCCATAGCCAACCCCCTTGTCCTGGCAGTGTTGTTGGCTGAACAAGAAGTTTATTGGTGGAGCTCGGAAGCTGGTAACTATGACATAATAGCCTGGAGTAGGAACTATACATCCAACGATTGAGGCAAAGAATGGAATATAAAAGGCGAACAGTCTTAAGGATATCTATTTAATTATCGTTTGCAGTGCTCTAACTGATTCTATATAGCTTCTGTGTTGTTTCGAAAAAAACAAGTTGATTTTGAACCATGAGCCTGCCGTCTTCGCTCTTACAAACGCTGCGTATCACATCCTCCCGGTTGCCAATTTCAGCTGGAAGAAATGGCGCAGCAAAGCTGTCAATGTTGCATGGTGCCCGAAGAGCAACCAGTTGGAAGAGATCTATTCATTCAAGTCAGACGGGCGGGCTGAGGGAGAAAGACTCAGCAGGTGGCAAGGAACAAGGTATACAAGCCTCATGTATCCCATCAAAATAACGCAAAAGACGACCTAATAAGCTATGACAAAAAATATAAATATATAGCTCCACACCGCCATAGGCATCACAAACCAGAACCAGACATGGAAGAAGCGGATTCGTTTGCTAAGGAGTTCGACTCTCGTATTCCTTCCAACAAGGCCAAGCCTGCACTCAGCGACGCATACCAGCATAGCGGAGTAGACGCAAAGCACCCTAAACGGCCATCACGGGAAGAACTGAGCGAGGAAGAAAGGCATAAGATGGATGAACGGGAGGAGGACGTGAAGCGGCATAATTACGATATGGAGCAACGGCACGGCCGAGCATATAGTCAAATCACGCAGGAAGGGGAAGTGGAAACGATAGATGAGATGGAAGAGGCGCGGTTCAAGGGCGAGGAATAGCAACATGTTTGCCTTGACGATGGAAAGGGGCCGGATGCTTGCAGGAAAGGCGCCAGGAAGCTGCAGCTGTTGTGTTACTTGAGAGAAAGAACGGAAGAAAGAAACCAACAAGCCATGCAGTTGAACGTGAGACTTGCCTCTGGTTCCGACCGAAATGTTTCATGCATATGCTGTGCCTTGTTAGGGGAAAATTATGCCTTTTGAGAATGGAAATTGGCTGTATATCTGATATGGTGGATATGGGGGATTTTTTTTTTTGGATAGGCTTATTAAGGTCATCAGGTTTTTCTCTTTTGATGTCTGTAGTGAACACATGTCTAATAATACGAGGCAATGTAGGTGAAAACTTCTGTCTAGGAGTATTTGTAACAGGGTACACTAAAAGCAAGGTCTCTCGGTACATTTCCGCCATTGGTATACAAGCAAATATAAAGGTGTAGGTAAGAGGAAACGAACAGCGCAGAGTAGGGTATCTTATCATAATGATATTACTACCAGTGGTAGAAATGCCCCAAAGTCTTCTACTGCCGAATACAAAGAGGTACCACTCTCCGTATCAGATAGAATAATTTTGCCCAACCCTTTATAGGACGAGATGTAATTACCAATCAACATCGGGTACATGGTCCTCCAGCCCGCCGGATTGCTGATAGGTATCGTCAGTTGACCTTCCATTTTGATTATGATTTCTCGAAGTTTAGGGCCAGGCACGGTATTTTGTTTTGGTTTTTTGTTGTTGTTTTTTGTGTTCTCGGGCTATATGAAGTGCTGGTTGTACCAGTGAGAACTGGTAGAGTATCCGGCAAATAAGGCTAGGGTCAAGACCTTGCTGGTGTTTCAAGCATGTCGGGCCAAGATGTGATATGTTCCTCAAACCAGGACCGGCCAGTCACACAAAAGGAACCACATATCAATATCCTGTCTTTCTCTTCTTTTCTTTTCTTTTCTGTTTGTTTGTTTTTTTTTTTTTGGTATAAAGGGCCGTTGAAAAATGGTGGGGTGTGCACAAGGGAGAAAAGGTAAAAATTGGTACAAAAGAACTCCGTCGCTACCACCAGTGTAATGAAACAGTATATCCAGAATGAATGTCAAGAAAGAAAATAAGAAAAATAAAAGAGAAAAAGGAAGATCGGATTTTTGGAAAGAAGTACTTGCAAAGGAATGGAAAACCGAGTAGAGTTGGGCTTTCTAATGAAATGCAAAGTAAGATTTTTTTTGGGTGTCATAAGGCAGCTTTTAATCAGTCCTGTAGAAGGGGAGTATCCTCGGAGATGGCATCGTCTTGGGCATTGGTATCTGTGCCGTTAACAGTACCGTAGGAACGATTGTTTGGCCCTGCCGGTTTGCTCACTCCGGCCTCGAGTTCTGGTTTCTGGGGATTTACGTATTCGAAATAAACGCCCATTACCAGTAGGGTACCCTGTAGCATTGAAGTCACCACGTAAACACCCCAGGTGCTCCAACCTTCCATGCCCAGTCTCTCAGCCAGGCTTACAGCCCAGACCAGAGCACCGGGGGTCTGGATGCACATCATCTGGATACTCAAACTGCCTACTCGACGTAGACGCCAGGTGGTGTATATCTGTGGGAAGTATTGGATGGAAGAAAGGATAGTGGCCATGATTCCCAGGATGTTCGCCCACAGTTGACGACTGGAAGGGTAGCCAAAGACCACTGTGAAGCCTAGGATGGCTACAGCGATCGCATGGACGAGGCATATTGCGCCTACTGTGAGAGCTGTGCGGAAACTATGGGTTTTCTGAGGAGTCGAGGAAGCTGATGAAGGAGCGGGGGGATTTCGAGGAAAGTATACAACGAAAAGAATAAGGCTATAAAAAGAGTCAGCCTAGAGAAAAAGCACAGCATAACGTCCCGATGTCGAGGCAAGACCTACAATATTACGAAACATAGCGACTGGACGCCGACCTGGATGATGCCTAAGAGGCCAGCAAAGCAGGCAAACCCACTGATATCATGGCAGCAGGCGATATCGCGAGCACTCTTTGGGAGAACCAGGATATTTGCAAACCCCGACGTCCCCGAGGTTGTTCCTAGCAATATAAAATAAGGAGATATGCCAAAGGATGTCCCCCTCGAGATGATACGGTAGTGCTGGGGAAGATATGATAGTAGGATGCCGAGGAAGATCAATCTAGGACAGTAAAGCCGTTCAAATTGAGTCAGTCAACCGCGGTTCTTCGACCAAAAAACGGGATGAGTATCAACTTACAGAGAGAAGGTAAAGCTAACGGCACCGGGAGAGGCGAGTTGCTTGCATTCTTCGCTCATGTTCACCATGATTTCTATAGAACTACGGTCAAAAGGCGAACGGACAGGGGAGTATGGGCCCGACGAGAGCGCATGAGTGAATATATAGCGAAAGGCCGGGAGGGGGTTAAAAAAGGAAGGGAAGGAAGGGGGTTCAACACGCCGGTACGGTCATTGGAGAGACGTGTCTTTGGGAGGTTTGTCTCGCGCAGAGACTTTGATTCTTCTCTGGAGGTTTTTTTTTTTCCCCTTCACTCTTCGTCTTCCCCTTCTGAGACGCCGTGCAAGATGTTGAAGATGCGCCTTGTCCGCCCAATGATGTGCACAGGCCCAGCCACGACCAGCCAATCAGAGCGTGATCTTCATACGAACTACGGAAAGTCTAGCTTCTTTAAGTATAGCCTGGTGTGCGGGGCCGTTCCCAGCCAATAAGAGTGATTCCAAGTGAAGGAAGAGTTAGGTAAGCGTACTGAGTACCCGTAACGGGTTAGTCTATCTTAGTCATTTGGTCACGTTACTTTCACCCTTGAAGTCGGTTTTGGTGGGGAAGAAAAAACGATGTTTTTTTTGTCGGTTAAGAAAAAATGTATGTATGTATTAAAGAAGATGATATATGATGACAGTTACAGTATATGCAGGCTAAGACGGCAGTGCATTAATAGAACCAATACTAAGAGGTTTGGAGGCAGGCAATTGAGAGAGAGAAGATGTTTGCCCCTCAGTTCCTTTCCTTCGCCTTCAACTTCCAACTACGTCACACAACACGTCATAACAAGGAGCAATAGAGCTGCTTTGATATCGACCTGGGACCTTGCTTCAACAGATGCCAATGAGTATATATTGAAAGACTGGCCGGGTCCGCTGTCTGGTTTTCTATCTCTTGTTCTCATGCAAGCCGCCTTTTCTTTGGAGAAGACTTGCTACAACACTTGGCTGCTCGCTATTCGCATGAGACTCGTTTGTTGACACCGGAGCCATCAGCCATTATGAAGTGGCTATTTACCGGGCTAATCATAGCTCTGACGGTGTCTGAAGCTGTGGGCTCCAGAGACTGGTTCAGCAAAGCTGGTAATACTGTTTCCCCGCTGCTCGTTTGTCGCCGCCCAATATCGCATGCGTTGGAGTATCGCTCTATGGCTAACACGTCACGGTGTCCGCAGTTTACAACCAATGGCATGAAACCGAACTTGAACGCTGGCTTTCGGACCATGGTGAGTTGCAGCCAGCCACTGAAAGATCTAATGAACTGTCCTAACCATCTCTAGATGTTCCATACCCTTCACCTGTAGATCGCAAGGATCTTGAAGAGCTAGTGAAGACCAACTGGGAGTCATATGTCGTCGCGCCAGCTTCAAGGACGGCAGAGGAGGTCTCGGGGTCTTTCAACGACGCCAAAGAATGGATATTCGAGTCGTGAGGCTTTGGTAGAATCTCGCTACAAGACGACAACATTGACTAACTATATCATTTAGATGGAGTGACTCTCAGTTGAAAGCCTTTCTGGATCGCCATGGCATCCCATGCCCTCAACCAAAAAAGAGGGATACTCTCCTCTCCACGGCCCGCCGCAACTATGAATCAATCGCCCAGACACTTGGGCAATCAGTCAACTACCCAGGGAACTGGCTATATGAACACTGGTCCGAATCTGAGCTAAAGGAGTATCTTGACAGCCATGGCTTCCCTGTCCCTCAACCGACATCCCGCGATAAGCTTATTGCCGCCGTACGCCGAAACTCCCGTCGTGCGGGAATAGAAAGCCGAAAGTCTGCATCCGCAGCTTCAGCATCCATGGCTGCTGCCCAGGAAACTCTTACTGAGGCATTGTTCAATGCATGGTCCGAGTCTGATTTTAAAAAGTTCTTTGATGAACATAGTATCAAGGTGCCTCAGGGTTCCAGGAGAAATGAAATGCTGGCTTTGGCACGCAAGAACCGTCATTATCTGCTAGAGAAGCCGGCTGCTTCAGTTGCCTCCGGCTATGGAGCTGCTACTTCCAAGGCTGGAAATGAATTTGCTCGAGCCACAGACGATGCGAAGCTAAAGATGGATGATGCTTTCAACCAAGCAATTAACGGGTGGTCTGATTCTCGCCTTAAGGGCTATCTAGATGCCCGTGGCATTCCAGTACCACAGAGCGGAAAGAGAGATGAACTCCTTGCTAAGGTACGGCTCCATGGACACAAGGCTGCATCCGGATACTCCGCTTGGACTTTTGACACCTGGAACAAGGAGAACCTAGGGTAACTGAACACTTAGCCATGATACATCTAGTTGAACTCTTACTAACGGCCGGAAAAAATATAGGAAATACCTGTCTTCCCAGCACAAAAAGGCTCTAGAGGGTGTTGAATATAGCCGTGATGAGCTCTTAAAGCAGGCTCAAGACGCATACAATCACGCCTGGAAGGCAGGCGGTCCCACATACGCTTCTATCACCAACTACCTCTCCCAAACTGCCAATTCTGTGAAGGACACCGATTTCAACACGTGGTCCAAGGATGATATCGAGAAGTTTCTCGCCTCCTATGGCATAAACCCTACACGCGGCTCAAGTATCGAGGAACTTCGAAAGCAGGCTAAAGATAATGCCGATTACTTCCTCTATGGAGTAACCAAACAGGAAGCATCTATCTTTTCCCGACTCCAGGGCCTCGGTCAGTGGGCTTGGGATCAATTGAAGATTGGGGCTCTTAGTGGCAGAGCAGAGGGGCAGAAGGCAGCACAGGAAGTCAAGGAAAAGGCATCTAAGGTCGCTGACGAGCTTTAAGTTCGGGCAAGCTTGTGTCAAGGCAGTCGTATGTACTTGACAACGGCTTTTCGGTAATGCAAGAGGAGGCCAGAGTCGATAATGCTAAAATGCTTAATGGGAAGGACATCTAGTTTGTCTAACCCGGTCTTGTTTTATTAACGACTGTTAAATGCTTTACAGATTTAGTTTAATGCTCAAGCGAATATTTGTAAAACAGTATTATGACCTGCCTATCATGCCTATGCTTCATTGTGATTTTGTAAGGGTTTGTTGATAGCCTGTTTACTTCCAAGCGATTTATCCGTAAATAGAGAGGGTAAGACAGAGTTCTGGCCTCTTCGATCTTATTTTGTTCATGCATACTTGATATGTCATTACTATCATAATTTTTCACCAATTACACTAGGTCCACAGCGCCAGTGCGCACCCGGTAGATCCCGAGAACAGATAAAATACTTAAAAAAAGCCCACACTAGCATATCACTCTTTTAGAGCTGGATCACCTTCAGCAACAAGCTTGCCAACAACGAGATACTTCTCCAAAAACCTCTCTTCCCATCCTCTTAGATTCTCGAGCTCCTCCTGCCCTAATCCATTCAAGTCATCCAGTGGTCCCTTGAGGTCTTTGGTAAGCATTTCCTCATCGAAACTCTGGCAAGCTAGTCCACGAGTGGCATCTCGTCCAGCAAAATTCTCATATGGTCCGCCCTAGATAAGTTGTGGTTTAGAGAGTGGAGTCAATTATTAGTTTGTTGAGAGCATACCGGTCCGTAGAAGTTCCTGCCAGGGGTGACATCGAATACACGTCCCCGAACTGCAAGGTAAACGGGAGCCCCATCCTTGCCGTTGAACGGTAGGAGATCGGTGGGTGAAAATGTACGGAAGACGGTGGGTGGGGGAGCGGCAGGGAGTGCCACGGGTTTCTTTGGTCTGAATTGCATGTATATTACAAATATAAAGAGCGATAATAGGATGAGGTTGATTGGAGAAGCGATGGATGCCCTGATGATGCAGAATTGGATCAGTATAGAGCTGGGAAGTAGATCGAGTTTACTTACACTTCGGCGGGTGGAGAGGTATCTTCTATTCCATCTGGTTAGCTATGTCTACCCGGTGCATTAGAAATGAACGGCACGCTTACCGGACGTCATCTTGAAGCTGTATCAGGCGCGCTGCAGTGTACAAGTGTCCTATCAGCGGAAAAGATTGCAGGTGTTGCAAGGCTGATATTGACGTGCGAAAGCTCGCCCTTTGACATCAGAAAAGCAAGCGGATTATGTCATCATAATGATGATGTCAGCGTTTTGACTTCCCTATTATAAACTCTCAATGATCTCGGGGCCAACGTTTATCACAGACGAAATTCGGGGTTCCCTGAGGCGCTGACCAAACGATAGCGGATGGAATGGGAGATTAATAGCAAGATACTGAGAAACTCGTCACCTAACTTTTGTCCCTTCAGAATAGACTATCTTATAGTGAGTGTGCCATATATCTTAACGAACACCGGCACGGAGCCCTTCAGAAAAAAAAAATATGCACTTGAGCTCTGTTCTGGAATCTTCTGCAGAGAAAGCGCCAGTAGATTGAGTAAATATTACCCTGGCGGTTCAATATTCATGTAATATATGCTCTTATAACTACCACGAGCTGACAAGGCTCAAAGGGGTATATACCAATTATTCCTTAATCCCCGAACGTATCCTCCAAAGTACCAAGACCAAAAAATAGCCTGAAATGAAATACAGAATACCAAACAAGGGGCAGTGGCTAAGAGTAGAACGGGGAAGCTTTGGTAGAGTATTGGAGGAATATTGCACAGATATCTTCTATCGTGTTAACGCCTGCGCAATATTCCAGACTAAATCGGTACCAATATGGACGCGAGTCCTCTCTTAGTAGCTCGTTAGCCCACTTCTTCGTGGCCTGGGGTATATCCTCTGCTGCAATATTCCAGCCTGAACCCGACATCACTCTGAAGAAGAACCCCCCGATGCACCTAGGAATACCATCGAGTAACATCAATCGTCCCGGTAGCACCCTTGGCCTGAGGTCTCTTATGGTGAGTATGCTAGTACATATTAATAGCAATATCATCGGTATTGCGGTGCATCGCCACTTACAGGGCACCTTTTTCACCCCTGGAGGTTCTAGGAAACATAAGGTCACTATTAAATGTCAGCCTGGTGTATCCTTAACACTTGAGCTCAAGGACTCCATACAGTGGGAATTGAATTCCGGAGGCAGACCCAAGCGTTAACACTTTAAGTTTCTCCTGTATATATATTGGCAGTCCCCAGTCTAGCTTATCGGGTAACCCGTCGGTGTATGAGAACTCCATTAGGGTGGGGGGCGATGAATCATCTACTGCCGTCCAGATCTTCCATTCGACAGTGACTCTCCCGGTAAACCTTTCACCAAGCGTCTGTGTACCACAATCAGGAAGTAGCCGATAGGAAACACACTGCGTGGGATCCATACTGTACATAGTTTGACGAATTTAATATGTGATAGAATAAGTTCCGTAAAACTGTGAAAGGTGACGTTTGATGCATGGGTATGACTCCTTTTTATATCCAAGCTGATTTCTCCATATTCTAGATGGATCTCCAGTGTCCATAGAGCCGGCATCTCCCGAGTAGGAATTTTGCTATGCATTTTGATCTAGACTAGGGTAAGGTATGAATAGATAGGTAGATTTACGAAATAATCCCGGGGGAGGGGGAATTGGATTTCCTGTCATGCCTTGTTGCAGCAACGTCATAGAGAAGGCGGCTTATCGCCTTATAAAGTAGACTGCCAATCAATGAGCCTGTTTTGTTAGCTCTGGTGATTACAGAAGACATCATTTGCTGGGTTATTCCATGAGGACACGGACCTACCTCGAATAGAGGGTTGTTATTGTTATGCCCAATTTGTCGGAGCAAGGAACCAACTTAGTTTCTCTAGGTCCCAGCAAGTGATCCCGGTTGATCTCGAGTGTGATTCACTAAACGAAGAATTCATAGTTGCCGCAGCTTTTTATGCAGCCCCAAATCGTTAGATTCCACCATATTATGTGCGAGGGGCTCAGACCGGGAATATGCCTTGGATTTTTTTCCCCTCAGGAGAGGGGAGTGGTAGTTGGCTGTTGGAGGCACTATTTGCCTTCCTGAAAATTTTGGTGCTTGATACCAATCGCCGGTTTATGGTTTATGGTGCAACAACCCTTGTAGTCTAGATTTAGAGACAATCATGTCTAGATACGTTCGAATGGGATATAAGGCCACGTTACTCTGGCCGTTCTCCTTCACCTCCCATCCATAACCTCCCAACCAAGCCTTTCTGAACCCATGATCTAAGTCCCCATCCTTTCAGGCACACTTGCGGAGAATACAAATACAGCCAGAGTACCCAAACCCTAACCACCTTCAAAGCAATGAGCTGGTCAAAGCGCCGTGTCCGGTTAACGTGCTCTGCCCGGCTACCAAAACGCTGTGTCCGGCAAAAAAATGTGCGGCTCCATGCCCGTGAAGATAGAACATCTTCACCATCCCGACAGGCCTTAAACAGCGACAGGAACCCCAGCGAGCCTGCTCAAGATAGTCCACCATTCCCAAAACCAGATGATACAGAAAACACGTGTGTTGGACTTCGTCAAATATTCAATGGTATACCTGCAAGAAATCCATCAACCCCAAAAGATATACGCAGGGAATTCCTCATGAATGAAATGGGTCCGAACCTAGAGGAGACGTGTCAAGCTTTGCGTGAGGAGAGGTGGCATAACAACGAGTGTATTTGTCGGAAACCAGGGTGCGAGGAAAAGAGGAAGAGATACCCCAAATGCCAAAAGAATCCGGATAGCTGCACCCGGGATCAGCAGTGGTTCGAGGAAGATTTCCTGGTGTGGTAGATGACTCTCTGCCGCTAGTGACGCGAGCTCTGTGCCTTTAAATGGCATCCCAGCAGTGAGTAGGAGGCAGACCGCCAGCTTCTTGAGGAATGTCAAGCACATAGCGAGGTACCTCGTGGCCGCTAGGGTAGACCGGCCTTCGCAGTCGAAGATTGATCCCGATCTATCCGACACGATTGAAAGGGCCGGTGATACATGGATAGATTTGTCAGCTGTTTCGAGATGTAATATAGATCATAGAGACTTCATCCGATTTTGACTTATGTAGCGTATGATGGAACGTGGATATTTGAGCTAAAAATTGAGAGCTGATAACTTTGATATAGAAAATGTGAAATGTAGTAGCACGAAGAAGGAACTACGTCAATTATAACTAGTCCCTCTGCTCGGAGCTGAAGACTGGGTGGGCGACTGTAGTCATGAGGTGTATTCGCAAACTTGACATGGCGTTCTGTTCTGTTTGATATCTTGTCTGTTGTTCCTTGTGCTCATCTTCCAGGTATCTCAGCATTTCAAGTTGGTCTGTACTGAGCAGTAGGATAGTGGTCACATCCGGATTTATATCTTGTATCCGACTTTCTTGGGTGGTTTGGTGTACTCTGGGCGTTTTCAATTCGATAGTTGGCGTATCGGAATATTCAAATCGGTCGTTCTTTCGATTCAATGGGCGATAGCCGGGCTCATAACTGTCAGAATCTGCCATTCGGACGAAAAGGCGAGCCCGCGCTAAGTGGCGGCAGAGAGACTGGTTATATTTGACAAACTATCAAGCATGGAGAACGGCTGGCACTGGGACGAACATCTGGAGCTGTAGTAAGAGAACGCTGCAAGGACCGAGTGCCTAGCCTTGAGCAATATAGAGTGGATAACCGGAACTGAAGGTAATGGAAGAATTCATGGAAGCACGGATACAGTGATGAATATAAAGATGTGGGATGAAAGAAATACGGAGGAAACAGAGCATATCACGTGATAGATGAAAGGTCACGTGGATGTTCTGTACAAACCCGTGATGTAACAAGGTCTCAAGGATGAGTAAGGAATCAATGCTTAAGCGCCCAGATCACAGTAAAGGAGGGAATACAGGCTCAAAATAATAATGGACGTAAGACCTTGAGTCTACACAAGATCTACAAATACATGAGTGGGCTGAATTCGGACATCAGAGTGCCTTCGGGATATTAACATGAAGGTTGCTTTGTCATCAAACGTCAAAAGTACATGACGTCCATATTACGTAACATAAAGTAAATATACTACATAGTATGTAGTAGAGAAAAGGGCAAATCAGAGAAGCGATCTCCAAAAGAAGAGTCTATCCAACCATCTTCGTTTCTCCTGCGTGCTCTCAAAGTCCATGAAACAGCCGTCTGGGGGCTCTGCGTCGCTTGTGCTCTTTTGCCACTCTTCTGGTGCTGGGGGAAATATGCTCCAGGCTTGGCGGGTCGTAGAGGGCAGACCCGCGCCCGATAGGCTCGTTTGGTGATACGTCTTCTGAGCAATATCCACTCCCACGGGCCGGTATAGATCGCTGTGGTTTGTTTTATCGATTGTTTGCGAGATCGTGAAACGCTGCTCGACCTGGAACTGGGAGCGGGACAGGGTCTGTGGACCGTTGGCATTTTTGAAATCAGCGGTAAGAGGAAGACAATTAAGTGGTGACGGACGGCCGCCTGTAGACATGGGTGCCAGAAAGTTGTATGATTCCGAGTGAGGTAACTTTTCAAGTGAGGCGCATTGGCCCATAGGGGACGAAGGCTGCTCTGGCTGCCAAGAAAAGCAGAGCCAGGAGAAAAAGTTGGGCATCTTGTTAACTAGACAGCTAGTGAGCCAAAATTGAAAGCCAGGCATAAACGGAAGGCTGAGAGGGCACCGTCAAGGGAACGCAGAAAGACATCCATGTCTAGGGGGTGATGAGCTTTCTTATAGACAATTGTCACTAAATACAGAATATACTAGCCTGGACCTTCAATTAAGCTCGGTTTTGGTGGCTCCATCACGGCCCGTCCCATAAAAGTAAATCTTTAAGTTGATATATCATCTAAACAGAGTTAGAAGTGAAGGAGATGCGCTTAGTAAAGAAGTGTTCGAATTCGAACACTTCTTTACTCACCAGCCCCTTTCTCTATTTACTGTCAAATGTTGTACTTAGTCAGCAACGTAGTTAGATCACGTGCACTGCCTCTGTTATATCCGGCAGAGACTTACCCCTGTACCTAAGCTCTTCAAGCTCACCAATATACGTATATTTATACCTATATATACGTTTAAACTTATTTAGCCAATTATTATTCGCTGCTCTTACTTATATTTGATAGTTATAAGCCTAGCTATTATAAATTAAATTAAAATAACGTCTAATTTAAATATTCCGATATACTAACTATTAATAAGAAGTAGTATTAATAATATTAAACGTCATTCGTCTAATATCGATTAATAATAGCGAATTAATATACTAAGACTACTACGGCGAGGATTACCGTACTTAAAAACGAATAGGACTAGTACCTTTAATACGGGGGTATTAAAGCCCTAGCCTATTAATTAAATATCTAGAACCTAGTAAACCTAGATCTCGAAGTAGAATTAGAGTATACTACTCTACCTAAAAAGGTTAAATATAAGGATATAAATCCTTAAGTAACTAGTATTCTAGACCTTAATAAGGACTAGCTCGAAATACTAAAGATCCTAAAAGAGAACTATAAGGAATAGTAATTGAAGTATTAAATAGAAAGAAATACCCTATTAATATTCCGAATCTATTTAATAATAATAATTACCTATCTAGTATTTAATTAACTCCGAGTAGAGGATTCGTTATATAAGATAATAAAAGGATTAAAGAAACGCCTCTACCTAATAGATAAGGATAGGATATATAAGGTAGAATAAAAATATAAAATATTAAAAGCTAGATTAAGAGCTAGAGATATCTTTATCTAGCTTAATAACTAGATAGAGGTATTCTAGAAAGCTTAAAAGCTCGAGATACTATATCTAGAATAAGTAAAGGATAACCTTATTTTAGCGAACGAAAAGATTAACTATACCTATATAGTTACCTAGTACCGTTAAGCTAACTTAGTTAACTTTATAGACCTTATTTAAGACTTCTAACGTTACTATAGAAAGAATATTGCAGTAATAAAGATTAAATTCCAAATAGTATTCTTAATACCTATAATATCCTAATTAATATCCCAAACGACCTTAAAACCTACCTTCTAGGGACGAACTTAATTCTAGTCTAGAAGACTAGCTCTAATGTAAGGGGTTGGACCCCTATTCCCTTCTCGGGTCACCGCGCGCTCCGTAATCGACGAGGCAGCAAGGCCTGTCTGGAGATGCCATCACCAGACTCCCCCTTTTTACTCTCGCGCACGTGACCCTCAACACGGTTACATGACCTCAACGCCTGAAGCTATAGCTCTATCCCCCTTTACCGACTTCCTTCCTTTTCCCCTTTCTTCTTCTTCCTTATGTGTTTTGTCTTCGACTTACGGATACCCTTAGTTAGTTAAATAGAACTCTCTTCGGCCGTTAATATTACAAAACACATCCTTATATTGGTCTTATTGGTTATATTGGTTACATTGGACACATTGGTCATATTGGATACATTGGTTATATTGGACACATTGGTTACATTGGACACATTGGTTACATTGGACACATTGGGTACATCGAGTACACAGAAGATATTAGAAACATTAGTATAGGAACATTGGAATGGAAGATTGGAACGCAATAGATACAGCGGAAGGCCAACGTCAGGGCTAGGAGAATAATAGAAATAGATAGTAGAATAGTAACCAGCCACCGAGTTGGTTAGGAGCTTTTCTAGAGTAGCAGAGTACCCTTATGGAGAGGCAGACGGAGCAGATCAGAACCTTAATAGCGCAGCTAGCCACGCTAAGAGAGAGGGTACAGGAGCAGGGGACACCTTTAGTAGCACATCTCACCCCCCAAGCCTCACCGGCCCCCTCGATACAGATACCACCACACCCTGATCGGCCAAAACCCGCCTTACCAAACGCGGAGAAGTTTAGTGGAGAAAGACTATTGGACTATCTATCATAGAGGATGGAAGTTAACGCTAAACTTATAGTAGATAGGGAGTCAATTGGGGGCTCTAGCTAGCGAGTATGGTATATTTTCTCCCGACTAAAAGGAGTAGCAGCGAGGAGAGTCCTTCCCTGGGTAGAGCGCAACCAGTACGACCCAAGCCAGTTTACACCAGCACATTTCTGTGCTTACCTGGACCACCTTTTCGTCGACCCAGCTCGGCAGGAGAAGGCTAGGCGGCGGGTGTACACTATACGCCAAGGGAAGCAAGCACTAGCTAAGTTTCTTGCAGAATTTAATCAAGTTATTATGGAAGTAGGAGGCCACACTTGGGACGATATAGCAAAGATAGGAGCACTGCAGATAGCCCTAGACCCTAAGCTCCTAGAGTATATAATTGGAGTAGATACCCCCGAGTCCTACGAGGACTACTACTCCCTCCTTAGGCGAACGGATGATAGGTCTAGAGAGGTACAGCGAGTGGCCCAGGCCCAGCGCATCGGGCTCCAAGGTTACAGAGCATGGAGCTCTCAGAACTAGCAGCCCCGCGCTCTCGCCCCAGCGGTCCCTCGAGGGGACCCTATAGATATTAACAGCACCGCCCAGAAGCCAGCTCGCCGTGCTAAGTGGGCGTCGCCTAAAGAGAGGGAAAAGCGTAGGCAGGGCCGTAGGTGCCTACGCTGCGGAGGCGCAGGCCACTTCGTCGCAGCTTGCCCTTACCTGCCGCCACGCCCAACAACACAGGTCACAGATGTGACCCCGGCGGCGTCGGGACCACCGCCAGACCTAGAAGAGGAGGAGGACGCCAACTACTCGGGCCAGGGAAAAGACTAGCTCCTATGTTAAAGCGCACACAGGAGCCCCGAGAAGATATACTACAAGAATAGTAAAGGTTCTAGAAAGGAAAGATAGAAAGTCTACACATCGTTGTAGATACTATAGTGAATTAAACCGCTATAGCTAGAACTATAATAGATACTAGCTGTAGAGCCTATGGAGTAATAATATCAGCCTTTGCTAGGAAGTAGCGTATTAAGTATATTCCAATCACACCACGTGCACTCTCCGGTGTGAATGGACCGACGGGCGAGACGATAACAGAAGTAGGGTACATGACCCTAGATATCGCGGGCAACCGACAGGAGCGTGTGTTCATATATATCCTGCCGCGGGCAGCAGGGTACGACATTATATTGGGAAGGGGTTGGATGGCGGATCAGGACGCCTTATTGGAAAAACAGACGAGGACATTAGTTTTTAATCGGACAGGGGTTAGAGTAGAGGTAGGGGATATGTAGAGGAAAATGGATATAAAGGAAATTTCAGCCACAGCCTTTAGCTGCTTATATAGGAGAGCAAGGAGGGAGAAGGCGCAAAAGGGAGACCTCGATAAGCAGGAGGCAGGGTGCCGTCCACGAACAACGTCAGAATCTATCTGGCGAAGACCTCACCAGACGGCTCCCAGCGAGTCTGTAGGACAAGGTGCACAAGCACCAACAAGGCCGGTCTGGCGATGCCATCACCAGACGGCTCCCAGCGAGTCTGTAGGACAAGGTGCACAAGCACCAACAAGGCCGGTCTGGCGATGCCATCACCAGACGGCCCCTATCGAGCCCACTGCACAGAGTACGCTGTGCGCACAGGTGACAACAGAGCCTATCTGTGGAAGTCTTTACCAGACAGCTCCTATCGAAATATTCGCAGCGAGCATAGCGGACATCAAGAAGGCTCTAAAGGTAAAGCCACGGACGGATCCCAGAACGAAGCTACCGCCGCAGTATTACGAGTACCTGGACGTGTTCGACCAGAAGGTAGCAGAAACGCTGTCCCTATATAGACCAGGTATCGATCACGAGATCGAGCTAGTCGAACAGGACGAACGGGGAAATAAGCCAAAGATCCTCTAGGGCCCCCTCTACAATATATCTAGAGGCGAGCTATTGGTGCTTCGGAAAACCCTTACGGAACTACTAGAGAAAGGGTTTATCCGCGTGAGCAACTCACCTGCGGCCGCCCCTATACTATTTGCCAAGAAGCTAGGAGGAGGACTAAGGTTCTGCGTTAACTATAGGGGCCTAAACAAGATCACCCGGAAGGATAGATACCCCCTTCCTCTAATAAATAAGATACTATAGCGGATTTCGAAGGCGAAATGGTTCACTAAGCTCGATATGATTGCTACCTTTTACTAGCTTCGGATAGCGGAAGGATCGGAATAGATAATGGCGTTTAGGACACGGTATAGCCTATACGAATGGCTCGTAACCCCATTTAGTCTAGCTAATACATCGAGCATATTCCAACGATATATCAACTAGGTACTATGGGACTTCCTGGACGAATTCGTATTAGCCTATATTAACGATATCTTGATTTTCATAGAAGGGCCCCTCGAGGAACATAGAGCGTAGGTAAAGAGAGTGCTCTAGAAACTAAGAGAGGCAGGACTACCTATCGATATTAATAAGAGCGAATTCGAAGTTACTTCTACTAAGTATCTTGGGTTTATTATCGATATTAAAGAAGGAATTAAGATAGACCCCGCGAAGGTTAACGCTATTCTGGACTAGTAAGCACTGCAATCGGTAAAAGGGGTACGAGGGTTCCTAGGGTTCGCAAACTTTTATTAGAGATTTATTGTTAACGGCCGAAGAGAGTTCTATTCAACTAACTAAGGGTATCCGTAAGTCGAAGACAAAACACATGGGGAAGAAGAAGAAAGGGGAAAAGGAAGG